TTTGAAGACGACGCCTCGAGAGGAAGAATGATACCATTCTTCACATCTAAGAGGATCAGGCTGCTTATGATTGCCAAGATCCGACTTCCACTTCCTGTCTGCCAGATGGAACCGAGAACAGTTTCTCCCGGCGAACGTACAAATAGCAAAGACGCTGGAAAATGAATTCCTTATAATTTGTTCAGCCCCTCCAAATTATTATTTCTCATTTTAAACCAGTTTTATCAACCTAGATTTATCGCTAGTATTATAACAGACGAATAAGAATTAACACCAACACTGTATTTATCTGTGTTAGAAGTGGCTATTAATAATTATTTTGTAATGATAATGCTTTGACATCTCGTTAAAGAATTTCAGAAAAGATTTATTCAAAATATCCTTTTCTCTGCTAGTTTAATTTTATCCAAATTAAACCCGTGGATAATTATTTATTCAATGTGTAAACTGTCGAATTACTCTTTCCGTATTCTCATGAGTAGTACTCACCAAATATTTACAACTGTTGTTAATGATAAAACGTCGAGTATTCAAAATGAAGAAACACAGACCTTTGTTTTAATACAAATTACATTGTACGCTTCATGTTCGAATAGCACAACTACGACAGATATTCGACGGACAAAAATTTGTATATTCGTTATCAAGTTACGCGCGGTGAAACAAAGTTTGCATTACCTTATTCAACATACGATATGGTTGTTTGAAATCCATCGAACTCCGTGTTTCTGTTTGTGTTGGGCCAGTAAACACGCCAACTCTTGAATTAATCCCTTGCCCTCGCTATTAGGTTAAAAGTATATTTACTTTCCATTTAAATTAACAACGCTGCCCGTCGCGCTTTGAAGGAAACTGCATAATTAACCAACCGAATTATCGAACGCTTGAAACTCGGTTTAGTATCTAATGTTTTCCACTTTGTAAGAAAAACATTAGATACACATTCTAAGAGTGCAAGTTTTCCAAATAATCACTGGATGAATCGAAAAGTTGCTCGTGGAAGGGAAAATTATGGGGGTGGTTCAAAAGGATGTGGCGTCGCCTCCCATGCTCGCCACCAGAGGGATCGCGCTCTCACAAGCGCTCGACCGACCCCTCGGTTGCTATATGTATTATACACTCCTCGAACGACTTCCCAATATCCCAGTCGTTTAAAGCAGGGTCTGCTAGAAAGCCTTATTGATGAGTCCACTAGCAGGTCCGGACAAAACGCGCCCTCTCCTTTCCTTTTCGGTCCTCCTACAAATTCTCTCGAGATCCTAACCGCACCAAAGCAGCGTCATAAGGAGATTTGAATATAATATTGGGCGTTCAGTGAGCTCGAACGGTTGACTTTGATTCGATCGCGTTATTTTGTATTATATTTCACAGTATCGACCCGTCGAGAGACGTTAACTTGTCTCCAGTGGTCCACTTCCTAGGCTAAGTGTTATTAATTCATTTCACAGGGGGGGTGAACCACGAAGCATCAGTGCCGATGCTCGATGTCCATTAAGCGACCATTCAGGAACGAAGAACGTAGGTCGGTGGCGTGGATCGCGAGAACGTCGAAGGCAACACTACGGCTGGACAGTCATTAAACGACGTCGTTGCCTCTTAATGGCGGCAGATACACTTAAAAAGTAATTTACCAACCGCCTTCTGAAAGAGAAACGCCGAACGGTTGAAAGTCGCGTCTCGCGACGTTCGACGTTAATTGGAAACGCCTGGAGAAGAGGCAGACATCGAGAAAAAGTAGAAAAAAAATATGAGTTAGGCCAGGGGACGATCAAAGGTTCGCTCGACTCACGGAATTTGCAGCCACCCGACCGAGAGGGGGTGGGGTTTAGATATTTATTTAATATCGATTATTATCGGAATTCTTCCTACCTCGCGTTTCCCTAATGGCTTGCTTTCTACGTTGGTCGACAGAAGAACGGTACAAAGGGAAAACCTTCTTATATTATAGCTTCGCGAATAATTTAACTGGATCGTTCGGAAAACTTAAGATCAACGATCCTGTCGACCATAACCATTCTCAAAAATATAACAATCTAGTTAGAAAATTATATTAGGAGCTGCTGGCTTACAAAAAATAGTCCCCCAAATATATATTTAGATAATTTACGTTAAAAATTTCGTGAACTATAAAAAAATCCACAGTTATCGATCACTGTACCGGTCGCAAAAAGTTCCCGTCAATCATTTGTCTCCGGTTCGAGAATGGTCGAGTATAAATATTAAGAAATATTTAACGGCGATTAATTTTAGCATCAGCATTGTCTGGAAGTTGTCAAATTACACGAGAATAGTATTGCGAACGTCTAAGTTTTATATGAGTAAAGAGCGTGGAATATACTCTAAGACAGAGATTGAAATGTCACGCTGTTTTTAGATCGAGCCGCAGACAGATGGCTCGCACGGAATTGCCACATTAACTCTTGAAAGCACGGCGAACAGACCGAGAACGATCACCCACACAGAGTGTCGCTTCAAACACAATGGTGCATCCTTCAAAAGTGAACTCTTATTTAATTCGATATTTCTCTGCTGCAAAGGATGTCAGGAATGGTCACAGGCGTGTGGTCGGATTCAAATATTCGGACACTTCAAACGTAACTATGTAAACTATATTATTTGATATTATAAAAAGCTATTTAACATAAAAGAAGATAAATACGTGAACGTAAAAACCATAAGTGACTACTCTCGACCACATCCTATCTACATGTTATAAACAAATGAGATCATCGAAACTGAGATCCAAACACGTATACACTTTATACACTGCTTCCTTTGTTGCGTTGCAAAATTCTATTCCGTCAGAATGGGCCATCTTTGACCCAGAACTCGTGAGTCAAATAACAGGGGTGTTCAAAAAAATTGGGACCAGGCCTACTTTTAATCTTTGTAAGAAATCATTTTCAGACGTAAGTGTATACTTTTCCTATCTATCTGACCTATTCCAACCTTTTTGGACGCCCTGTACAATCCCAGGAACCAGCACTCGAAGAATCCCAAGCTGGAGAGGCTCGCGCGGATGGTCAGAAACGCCGGGCGTCCCGACGGCCGAATCCGACTTATTAAGCTAATTAGCGCCCGAGCAAGCGGGCAAAGGAAACCGGGGAAAATTATTAGCGACGAGTTGCTCGCGTCCACGAAAGAAAATTATGCCCAACGCGGTCCCCCTCCCCCCATCCCCCGCGTGTTTGTGCTACTCTCCGGCGAGAACTCGATTCTCTCCCTGTAGCGAGTCGCGGGGAGCTTCTTTCCCGGAGATCTCTTTCGCCAGTCCACGATCCTTTGTCTACGACACACAAAGGGGTAGATTAGGCGTGGATCTACTCGGCCTAACGGCGTGCATGATATCGCGTATCTAAGCGAGCATATGTGTTCGTGCCAGATACGCAGCCATGCGGCTAAACGCGCCTGAATGTGTACGCCTAGATGCACACGTCTAACCGAGGAGCCATTGTCTCAGAACACGCACACCGTCCACGGATCCGAGATTAGCGTGAACGCGCCACGTCAAATCGGCGACGTCGTTGCATGCCTGCCAAGTATACGGATTTAATTTTGCGCAACGATTTACGCTGGGACGAACGATAGCGTTATGGTACCGCCTGGGAGAAAAAAATTCAAAACTTGTAATATTCCAGCGAGTTCTAGAGCAATGATTCTTTAAATGAACCTCATACGCGATTCGTAAGTTGAATATTTCTGTTCCTCACAACTTGAGGGATACTCTGATGTCGAAATTCACCCCCACGAGAAATGAACATGTCAACACCGAAGCGACGTTCATTTTTAAAATCATTATTTTAGATACGTCAGACTTTTATATCCAGGGATGTTCTATACGTTTGATCTAACTGGAGCTTGTTGACATTCAAGATATTTTTTAAACATCGATGATTATGTTATTGTTGGAAAGTGGATTATTGGGGCAAGTTTAAAATAATAATTATTTAATATATGTCAATGTAATCTTCTATTAGCTCATTATTTTTTAAATGCTTTAAAGGAGTGTTGATTTCCATTTACCAATTTGGTAAAAATCAGCATTAAGTTGGGATTGAGAGTCCGCTTAAGAGTTCTAAATAAACGTTGGAAGATCGAAGCGTCCACCAATGCGACAGTTGACAAGTTACGCGCCATAAAATCCGATAAATCCTGCAAATATCACTTCAATTTTTTTTACACGTGAACTTGGATATGTATTTTTTAGTGTTTGTTTGGCCGAATAAATTCGTTCCACCAGAAATGTGTACGCAAGAAAATATGGAATAGATATTAATCATTTTCGATGCTCTTTACTTGTAATTTCGTGCAACGACGGATCGCCGAGACAATAATCGCAAATATAGCGGAATGCTTAATGTATAATACGTTTAAATAAATTATTTACCGGGATGGTATACGATTGACACAGATTCGTTGATGCATAGAAGCGTTCTTGGACATGCACCCGAATGCATCAGACCAACAGAACTATTATTGTTTCAGAACACGCGTTCGAATGTTGGAACCAAGATTATTATCATCAAAGCGCCCATGCTTGACACACTACGAACTTGGGAGACGCCATTAAGTCGAGTGATTTGCTAAATAAACGTTCCATGAAATTACAGGGATTCATAGATGTTTGATCTGTGCAAATTGTCACCGGTGGATGGGCTGACAATTATTTTAATCGTCAGGCAGCTCCAAAACCACTATGATAAAATTTTATAGGAAACATCCATCGTTACAAATTAGCTGTCAATTTTCTGATTGACTGTCCTACATGGAACGCGCAAAAATTATTATTCTAACGATTGAAGTTGATCAGAAGTGGTCGAATAACTTTTCTACGTGTTATTGTAATTGTAACTCGTCTCAATTCCTGTGTAAGGGTTTTAAACCACCTTTGTTCGCTTTTTTTTCTTTGACGAATTCGTTACTACTTATTTTTAAACGCACGAGAGACGAGCCAGCAACGCTTGACGAGAAAAACCGAGTGCCGAAAGAGTGAAACTTACCTTCGAGCCGTGAGAACGTCCTCGGTTCACAGCTTCCGATTCACTTAGATGATCGACTTCCGTTCGCCATTCATCAGCTCTCGTTTTCTATACCAGAAGACAATCTCTCACGAAGTCGTCGGGCTCAGGCGAATAACCGTGAAAGTTTCGGGAATCGAGCCGGAAAACCGTTACTCGCGTAGACACTCACACCTCGATGACTCTGAAAGTAAAAAAAAAAGAAATTCTTGTAAGCGAGACGGTAACACGAAATTCGTTCCAACGTAATTCCAATTGATTTTTCAACTGGCAACACTCACCGACGTGTTTCGTAACTTTTAGCAAAAAATGCAAGCATTCACAGTCACAATCACAGACTTTGTAACTTCGTAAAAAATTTAGATTGATTATATATCGATAAATTTATGATAATCTATGTGATAAACGGTTGAAAGATCACAGAAAAGATTAATAATTAACAGTATATAGGACATCTGTATCGAATATTTATTTCCAGTATTATTGTATGAAAGAAATAAATGTTAAAACAATAATTGTTTTGGGAATTTATTTATTGCATCAAATATATAAAGAATGTGTTTTAATTTAAACATCATCAGTTTCCTTCATTAAAGAGGCGTTTAAATACTGCCAGACTTTCGTAGAAGTCCATCAAGTAGTATTGGTCAACGCTTGGTCAGACGGGCTACTGTAAAAATTAAACTACCCCAGTAATCGTGGTGCAAACGAACAGAGGGTGATTCTATGTGACAAGACAAGTTGAAAATGTAGAATAACATTTTGTTATGCGATGCTTTGTTTTCGAGATAATCGAATTTGAAAATTTCTCTGGCTCGTCTGACCACACCTCGATATTTCTACTTACATTGATGTCCAAACTCTATCGCATTTATTTCTAATGAATTTTCTCGACAAACAAAGCCTCTAATAACAAAGTTTTATGTTCCATTTTCAACTTATTTGTTCCCATGGAATATTTATGCAACTTTTAACGAAATAAGATAGAAAATGGCCAATCAATGAGAAAGAGTCAGGGGAAAGAAGAGTCAGAAGCTTCGTAACGAAGAGAAACAAAGTTAAATTTTTCACAGTCAGAAATCTAGAAAACAAATAACAATTACGGCCACGTTGGCTCGCGATCTCCGATAAGAACGATAAAAATGGCAACCTCACCGCTGACTGCAGCGATAAAGCGAGAATTCTATTAGCGAAAGCTTAATAGTTCTGACATTCTGTAATGCCACCTTCAATTTCAATTTTAATTTTATCTCCGTCAGCTCAGAGTATTTATCAAGTCTACGCGACTGAGTTAACTACACGGCAACTATAACTTTTCCTTTTCACATTGAAAGAGACATCTGTCTTGGGGGAGGAACGATAGTGGCGTGCTTTATTAAACATGTTTCCCGAGGGGGAATACAAAAATACAAGAATTATCTGTAGAGACGTTTAAATGTTTTCTCGTAAATGAAAAGGGGTTCTTAGATCCCCTGAATAATGTCACTGAGGATGTAAAGAAAACACGGCGAACGAACGACGCCAGAAAACATAAAATAAACACCGAGACTCTCGCGTTATTATTTATAAAACTGCGACCAACTTCGAGAAACGTTTAGCGAAAGTGCAAGCCGGATAATAAAATTCAACGAACGGGCATGAAAATAAGAAGATTAATTGAAGTTAATTAAGAATGACAATGAACACCGAGCAAAGTTCTTTACTTCGAACCAGGAGAAACGATGGCTACAACATTTAACGATGGAAATCGTTGCTTGCCAAATATCGAAAATAAATTCACAAGATAATATTACAATATTACGATCGATGGAGCCATTGTATACAAACAAGCTGAAAACTTAATTACGAACTGCAGCGTTTTCATCCAAGAATACCGAAAGGATATTGAATTCGAAAAAACATTGAATTCAATTTTCAAAATTAATTAAACTCGTATTTGCAGATTCACGTCAATCAATTCCAAAAATCGGCTCGCGAACAAACAAACGCGTTGAAATCTCTTCGAGCATCGCAACGAGGAAATCGAACGCTCCACGTTTTATCCGTCCGCTAAAGTCTCTGCGCGTTTATACGCTTACGTACATTTTCATCGTTATTCTTACAATTAATTACAATGCGTACATAACGGTTCACCCGCGCGGAAAATCCCAGAATATTCCGCGTTCCCCGCGATTACGGTTTTTCCTTGAAATGAACGCGAATGGAAACGCAGGGAACCGGAAAGGGCGAGCGTTTTAAATAAGTGCAACTTCGAACGACACTGCGAGCGTAAAACATTCAAAGACTCGATGAACACGGGGCAAATGGAGGAACGGACGGGCGCGTGGGTGGTCGTAGACATTCTGACTGCACGTCAACGACAGAAGAAACAGGCAACGTAGCTACCGCTGACCGTAGAACGCACAATAAAATCCCGTCCTGGCAACGGGGGGGGGGCTTAACAGTCCCGACGTTTTGTAACGGTGGCTTCAGCTGCTTGAATTCTCTTCCACCGTACGTGCTCGCTCGCGAACCAACCAGACGAAATGTTTTTACACGACGTTAGCGACGCGATTCGTGTTTCCTCCAGGCTGGCTTAATTCGGATCAAGTGGCGCGAAAGAAACTCCGTTTCGTTCGGTCGCGGAATCAACATGCACCAATAATGATCACTGGTCGACGACCCCAAGCTTTCGCACTATTCGCCAACGTTCGACAATAGTATCGAGACGACAAGGTACGAGAAATCTCGAAGAAATTCTAGATAAAAATAGAAATATTAGAGTTTTGTGAAAAGAAATTCTTAAATATTAGGAACTGTATTCTACTGAAGACTGAAATACTGAAGAGTTTGATGTATTTACGCGAATTCTTGATAAAGTTGCCAAGTAATGCAAGAGAAATTATGTTGCCGTTGATAACCAATACGTGTTCCGAAACTTGCCTTTATGAAACTTTAGGATTCTTATTGAATCAACGGAGAAAACAAAGTTGCAAGAAGGATCCGGAAATACGTATCACGGATTTGTTTGGGAAAGATTTCTACTTACGTACAATATACGAGAAAAGTTTCCCTCGGAATTATTGTGATGATTTCCTGTTTAGCTTTCAGCCGTATTGTTAAAAATCGAACCGCATCTTCGTGAAATTCAGGAACGACACACTGTACAGTTTTTATTCGTATAGAAATAATTAATTTTATCAGTTGAACCTAACGATTGAGAATTTTGTAAATAAAATTATCACGTAACTTAAGAACAAAGCAAATTATGTTCTTTTTGAAAAAGTTTTTCATAAATCTTCGCTGTTCTAACACGGTGTCTCCTCTAAAAGAATCTTTCGAAAGTTTCACAAAGTCACGAATGAAATATGCAAGCACATAGAAAAGTATGGGCGAAACGCGAATGAGACACTCTGTAGGCAAGTCTACTGTTTCTCTAACGGGTGATTAATTTGGTACAAAAGAGGCAGATGGAAAGAGCGAGCGAGAGAGTCGGACAGCCACCCACCAACATGAACAAGAACCACCAAGCTTCCTCAAATATTAACACAATGGCAACATGGAGCGTTCGGTAGCAACAAGCTCTGTGCTTTCCAGCTTGTGAACCGGAACAACGTAGAACAAGCCGAGAACGAGGCTCATTTCCGGTGCAACAGATACCTTAACCAATAGTTTTATCTAGTTCGACGCAAACTCCTACAAACTTCCACTTCCATTCATTCTTCTTTGCCGTAAATCTTCTGTTTTTCCTCAATTATTTGTAGTTGGAACTATATTTTATTTAATCCCCCTCAAGAAAAAATGAAAAACTGTATCAGTGGTATTTCAATCACCAGATATTTGCTTCGTTGATAATCTAGAATAGTCAACGCGTTCGAAACTATTAATATTTTCTCTATCTTCCCTTTCAAATGGTTTCTGTTTTATGTCGACAAACATTTACAGTAAAATTGATGAATATTGATGAATAAACTTCAAAACACAACTTTCTCTACATATAATGCAAAAAGTGTACGTTATCTCGTAAAAAAGAAAAAGAAAGACTGGTCCTTTGACCGGTCATGGTAGGAATGGGTACGCACGAAGTGTTGGTAGGTTTAGTGATAAGCAAGCATAAATCAGGACAAACGACAAGGCCGCGATACGTCCTTCGTATTTAACGAGCTATTAAAAATTCTGCATTCAATTCCTGGCATTTCTGGTTAATCCGCTCGAAAAAGGGACGCAAACACCGAGCGATTTAAATTCTAATCTCGAGCAACGTCTCGAAATTTCAACATGCCAGGGGATGCAGCGCAACGCAAAGGGAAGTTCGACAGCTGCAGTGAAAGTACTCAACTCAAGAGAACCGTGTTTGCTCGTAAGCTTCGCCAAGACTGTTTGCGGTCAACCACAACAGAAACGACGAAAACTCCGGGTGCTCTGACGTTGCATTCAAAACCAGACCCCGACAAAGTGGTCCTTTCCTGAAATCTTCCCCAAGCTTCGTTTCGACGCAAAAACCATCTGCCGTGCAGGCACTGGCGCGATGCATTTATCGACCGGTCGCAAAATGCACTTTGTCGTCGTAATTGCATCGTTTCCGACAAACGACTCGTCGACGAAAAATTGTACGACTAATAAAAAGATACTTTGACAGGCGAGCCATCGACTGGACGCGTCCTAGTACGGGATACTGTCAAAGGTGAAGGTACCAAACCTCTTTTAATAATCAAGGAGGTAATGGGGGCAATTATTGGCCCAACCGAAACGTTTCAACAGCTACAAGGACGAAGAGCGTTTAATCGATGAGCAAAGAACGTCGATAGAGGCCAGAACCTCTCGAAGATCGAAACTTTTCATATAAAACAAACTTTCGGAAGAGGAAGAAAGTTTAATATCTTACACTGGCACTGTTTCACTAATATTAATGTTATAGTTTTTGGATAAAAATAAAGACTACGTTCTACTGTTTCGATGCTATGGCTGGACCCAGCCACGTGGAACGGGCTGTACAGTTCCTTCGGTAGTTTATTATTCAATGAATAATACACTACCAGAAAGCATTATTTGCTTGTTCGTAATACAAATAAAAAATTAAGAGATTAATGGCATTTACATCGGGAACATGACTGGCATAGAAAATGAGTCTTTTTCTGGGTTGAATCTCTGTCGATTCGATGCCCATAAAACATGAACTGTTTTTAGAGGGCAGAAGATAGAAGA